GAGCAGGCCTGATAGTCTTCTATATACTCTCACTGCTATATATGTCGGAACGGGCCGGATCGGACGACTATATCATATAGCTCCCATACAAATGATCGACAAATTTTAAGAAAAAAACTTGCAACTTGACTGTTTTTCAACATATTTTAATAATTTTTGAGATATGGGCATTTCTTATTATTTCAGAATTTTGGTATACATTTTAAGAAAATCGGACAACTATATCATAAAGCTACCATTGAAACTATCTGTAGATGTAAAGAAAATGTAAAGCTGGGAATGTAAAACTGTAAAAAGAAAAAGTATAGGTAAAATGTAATGAAACTCTGCTATGTGTTTTTTCAGCATTTAAATTTATAATATGAATATCAAAACCAAATTATGATATGCTATGTATAAATGTACAAATTTTATATATTTCCTTTTATTTTCTTCTATTAATTGAACTAGAATTGCTCGATTCTTAATAATCCAATTGAAAATTGCAAGGGTATCCAAACTTGGTTGCTGAAGTTAGCTTTCTTTCTTGTTTGCAAATATTTTCGATACATCAAATAAATAACAATCATCTTAAAGGCGGAAGGGAAAGACGGAATTGCCAATATTAACAGCAATTTCTTTGTGCTATTGGGCATTTGGCCAACAAATTTAAAAGACCGTCTGGTCCTGGCAGCTGGCGACAATTGTTTTGTGGTCAGTTTCCCGTTTTCAAAGACTGTTTGTGTGACCCATTGTCGCGTCAAGTCGAGCTGGATAAAGAGCCTTTTTAATGCCTATGTAGAAAGCCCGAGATAAAGCTCTTTGAATTAATCAATGATAAATTTTTAATGCAACTGAAATCATAATAATTAATACGTTTAAGTTAATAATACCCTGAGAAGGGATCTATTATTTTCATATATATTTTTTATACCCTTGCAGGGTATTATAATTTCAGTCAGAAGTTTGCAACGCAGTGAAGGAGACCTTTCCGACCCTATAAAGTATATATATTCTTGATCAGCATCAACAGCCAAGTCGATCTAGCCATGTCCGTCTGTCCGTCTGTCCGTCTGTCCGTTTCTACGCAAACTAGTCCCTCAGTTTTAAAGCTATCTGAATGAAACTTTGCATATAGTCTTCTATATACTCTCACTGCTATATATGTCGGAACGGGCCGGATCGGACAACTATATCATATAGCTCCCATACAAATGAGCGATACATTTTTGGAAAAAAAATTATAACTTGGCTGTTTATCAACATTTTTGCACCATGCACCAGATATGGCCATTTTTTATTATTTCAGAATTTTGGTAAAAATTTCATGAAAATCGGACGACTATATCTTATAGCTGCCATAGGAACGATCGGGAAATTGATAGAAAAAACATTATAACTTCGTTGTTTTTCAACGTATTTTTATCTACTCTGAGATATAAGCTCATTTTATTAGTTCAGAATTTTGGTATAAATTTTATGAAAATCGGACAACTATATCATATAGCTGCCATATAAACCGATCGGTAGATGTAGAGAAAATGTAAAACTGGGAATGTAAAACTGTAACTGTCAAACTCTAAACAATAAGTATAGGTAAAATTTAAAGAAATAATATCTGCAAGGGTATACAAACTTCGGCGTGCCGAAGTTAGCTTCCTTTCTTGTTTTTATTTGAGTAAGCGCAGAATACGGTGAATAGATATCGCATCCATGATGCTGAGATATGGCTTTTAAGTTAATGTATTGCCTTATCAAGACTCATTTTTATAACAGCATTCTGCTTAGGTTTCTTTACATTTCCGCAAATATTTTCGTTTCGTAGCGAAAGTGCACTATCCATTTGTTTGGTTTTTTTTTTGCCGAGACTGAAGCAGCATGCGACAATAATGGCACATTTTCTTTTTCTTTGGCGAATTCAGATGGTAATTTTCGTTTCAGTCTTGGACCTGGCACAGCATACGTCAAGAATTTTCGGCCAGGTTTATCATGGGTCACGTTCTTTTTCATTACAACAATTTTTAAATTTGACGCGAGCCACTGTGGATGTTTTGATTTGAAGCGGTCTAGATTTCTGTTGCATTTCGCCAATTTATGATTGATCTGCTTCAGTTTTTGTTTAATCAATCTGCACTGAGCATCGTTTAAAACGATTTCGTTCAAATTTTCCATTATAAGGTTATATACTGGAGCTTGTTGCCTGTTGTTGTCATTCCATACATCAAGCAACGTGAATGGCAAAACTCAAATGCAACGGCAACATATCAAATTATTGCGAAATGGAACAAAAAGGAGCAAAAGAGCTTTATGTTATTGTGTTCAGATAATATTACTTGTTAAGTTTCAGCTTCCACCTTGCGCTAACCCTCGTCAACTTGTAAGTTTCATTCCACGAAACACACATCTACATTTTTTAGTTGGGACATAAAAACACAGCAACAACACACTGAAATATTGGACAAAACAACAAATATAACAAAATTTTCGAGCTTATAACTTTTTTGACATACCATGACTATTAGATTCCATATTAAACAGTTTTAATTTAATTCAGAATTGTTAAGTTATTAAACTGCAAAGATAAACAACGTTTTCGCGATTTTTCTTTAAGGTGTGACCAGATGTTAATCTTTCGACATCGTTAAAAGTACTAAAAAATAACTTTTAAAAATGTTTAAAAATTATATTTGGGGTCCTGAAAGTATTCTTAATCAGGTGAAATAGTTTTTTGTTTAATACAAAACAACAAAAAAAATTTTTAAATGCCAACATTTCTGATTTTTTGCCCATAGTGCATAGGAACGATCGGGATATTAATAGAAAATTAAATTATAACTGCGTTGTTTTTCAACGTATTTTCCTATACTCTGGGATATGAGCTTTTGTTATTATTTCAGAATTTTGGTAAAAATTTTATGAAAATCGGACAACTATATCATATAGCTGCCATAGAAACGATCGGTAAATGTATAAAATATGTAAAGCTGGGAATGTAAAACTGTAACTGCCAAACTGTAAACATAATAAGAATAGGTAAAATGTAATGAAACTCCGTTTTCTGTTTGTTTTCAGCATTTAAATCCATAATATAAACATCAAAACCAATCTGCAAGGGTATACAAACTTCGGCGTGCCGAAGTTATTTTCCTTTCTTTTTCTAAATATTATTAGAGTAACTTACGAGATATTAGCTAAAAAGAATATTAAAATTGACCAGAATTAAAATTAAAAGAAAACAATTTATGTGTAAACATAACGCAAAAAAATACATTTGACAATTTACATGCTTCTACTCTTTTGCGTTATCATTGTCCCATGTAGCGTTATCATTCTGGCAGCTTCTGCGTAGATTAAGCTACGCGATAAAAACTATTTCAGGGAAATCGGTCAACAACAAAAAGAATAACAACTAAAATATGTTTGGATAAGCAAAATATTGTTCGTTGTGTAAATACTTTTGATGTTTAAAAAACATACTTTGTATGTTTAAAGAAATAACTTTTTTTTAATGTTGGAAAATGGTCAAAGGGTTTGTGTTTGAAATTTGAATTTAAAATTTGTATCGGGTGTACGCAGAGATATGCAGCTGAGTGTATATTTAGGTTCGTTTCTGAAATAGATGAAGCAATGGATTTAAAAAAGCGACATTTACGTAAAAAACTTGACAGTCTCTTTATAGAATTCAATGTTTCAATGTGCGAGACCTTCGAAATTATAATTAAAAATTCCAAATTTGCAGTTCTCCGTCTTTATGTTAAAAAATAAAAACTGTTTGCAAGCCAAACGCGGAAGATAAATTTCGATTTTAAAAAGCAATGTTCCTAAAAAATTGATGATTGAATCGCAAGTTTGGACATGTAGAAAAAGCTCATATTTTTTTACCCACCGTCTATAAAAATGCGCTTCTCGCATAACTCCGACGCTCCATTTCTTGTAGAAGGTGGATCATTATGTATATCCACACCTTTATTTTTTACGACCTCGAATTTTTCTTTTAATGTAACAGTTGACGAAAAGAATTCGAACATTAACTCGATCTCCCATGCAACGTCTTTAACCATGAAGAATTGTTAATTTTAATTTCGTTTCGCTATGAAAAAGTGAGAATATGAATTTTGTTAAATAGCTAATAAACAGTAATAAACAAATCAAAATAAGTTTTTATTATTCCTTATGATGTAATTTCAATATATAAGTATTGCACTTTATTATTCCTGCGTAACACACACAAAATCCATAAATTCGAGCTCATTTGAGACCGATGAACTCGAGTACTGCACGATCAATCCCTGCGCAACACACACAGAAATTAAAACATGTATGCTCTTTTCAGGACGACGCGCTCTTAGCTACGATCATTATTTGTACTCGTTCACGAAGCTCTAAATGATCGTTCCGAAACGATCCGATGTGATCTACGAGCAGGCAATCAATGTTCTTACTCGTTCCTGATTATTATTCGGCTCTAGCTTCGGGTATGCATCATGAACGATCATATTACAACAGAGCTGTCAATTGAATTAAGCAAACATTTTTGCATGGTGGTCAAGATGATTCGATCATACCCGTCGCAGATCTGTGGTTTATGTATCGTTATTATTCATTGACGAATTTGGTCTGACAACTGACCCATCTGCAGCTACTTTTTATAGCCTGGCCGGCCGTATGGTGTTCAAGTGGTTAGCATGTTCTGGGTAACCGTGTTACAAGAAAGTTACGTCATTCCCCTGATAACTTCTAATTGACAAAGTGCAGCTTCTACTGCTTACGACAACCGTGGTTCAAAATGTTTAAAGATTGTACAATACTTTAATGACGATAACGGAGAATGTGTAGCATTCTACAATCTGAAAACTTTTTGAACGTTTATTGTAGGTAGTTGAAGCTGCACTTTCTAAATTAGTTAAATATATCGGAGAAATAAGGTAACTTCCTTGTAACCTGGTGGTCCAAAACATGCCAGCCACTTGAAAACCAATACGCCAGAGCTATAAAAAGACGCAGCAGATGGGTCAGTTGTCAGAGCACTGAAGCAAAAGTGATAAAGTAGCCAACAGTAGTTAGTTATCCTTTTGCAATGAATCTGTGTAAGTGTCCTCCTATGGAGTATTAAATATCCTACACTCGCTAACGACTATCATTGTAGCAAGCCTCTTCCTTCTGGCCCTTGTGGCATCGGTCGCTGTTAGCGCCGGATCTGCCCACAGAATCAGCAGGCCTGAACCAGAAGCTCCCAAGGAGCCATGCCTAGCCTCAACCACCAGGCCTCCTTGTGTGCGGACAACAACTCCGCCCCCACTCTGTGAAAAAGACACAAAGACGACTACAACGCCCACTCCAACAACAACAACCTGTTCAACAACTACTCCCACAACTACAACAACCACTTGTTCTACAACAACAACAACGACTACAACTACCACTACTACTACAACTACAACAACCACTACGACCTGTTCAACAACAACTACAACAACGACTTGTTCCACTACAACAACTACAACTACCACAACCACAACAACAACAACTACTACAACAACAACCACAACTACTACTACAACGACAACCACCACTACAACAACTACGACCTGTTCAACAACAACCACACAAACTCCGGAGAAGCCCTGTCAGCCTGAAGAGCCCATAACCCCTACCCCAGCGACACCGGAAAGTCCTTGCCAGCCTGATGAACCCTCAAAGCCGGAGAAACCAGTTACTCCTATTCCGGAAAATCCTTGCCATCCTAATGAGCCCCAAACTCCAGAGAAACCAGTAACCCCAGCTCCGGACAGTCCTTGTCAGCCGGATGAAGACACTACAACAACGACAACCACTTGTTCAACAACAACGACGACTACAACAACAACAACCACAACTACCACTACTACGACAACCACCACTACAACAACTACCACTACTACTACAACGACAACCACCACTTGTTCCACCACAACAACAACCACAACTACCACTACAACAACTACCACTACTACAACAACTACAACCACCACCTGTTCCACCACAACAACAACCACAACTACTACAACCACAACTACTACAACCACAACTACTACAACCACAACTACCACCACTACTACAACGACAACCACCACTACAACAACTACGACCTGTTCAACAACAACCACTCAAACTCCGGAGAAGCCCTGTCAGCCTGAAGAGCCCATAACCCCCACTCCTGCGACACCGGAGAGTCCTTGCCAGCCTGATGAGCCCCCAAAGCCAGAGAAACCAGTAACTCCTATTCCGGAGAGTCCTTGCCAGCCTGATGAGCCCCAAACTCCAGAAAAACCTGTAACTCCTACTCCAGGGAGTCCTTGCCAGCCTGATGAGCCCCAAACCCCGGAGAAACCAGTAACCCCAGCTCCGGACAGTCCTTGTCAGCCTGATGAAGACACTACAACAACGACAACCACCTGTTCAACAACAACTACAACAACGACGACTACAACAACAACAACCACAACTACCACTACTACTACAACAACAACCACCACTTGTTCCACCACAACAACAACGACGACTACAACAACCACAACTACCACTACTACGACAAGCACCACAACAACAACTACAACCACCACTTGTTCCACCACAACAACAACCACAACTACTACAACCACAACTACTACAACCACAACTACTACAACCACAACTACCACCACTACTACAACGTCAACCACCACTACAACAACTACGACCTGTTCAACAACAACAACTCAAACTCCGGAGAAGCCCTGTCAGCCTGAAGAGCCCATAACCCCCACTCCTGCGACACCGGAGAGCCCTTGCCAGCCTGATGAGCCCCCAAAGCCGGAGAAACCAGTAACTCCTATTCCGGAGAGTCCTTGCCAGCCTGATGAGCCCCAAACTCCAGAAAAACCTGTAACTCCTACTCCAGGGAGTCCTTGCCAGCCTGATGAGCCCCAAACCCCGGAGAAACCAGTAACCCCAGCTCCGGACAGTCCTTGTCAGCCTGATGAAGACACTACAACAACGACAACCACCTGTTCAACAACAACTACAACAACGACTACAACAACAACTACAACAACAACAACGACTACAACAACAACAACTACAACAACGACTACAACAACAACGACTACAACAACAACGACGACAACCACTACAACAACCTGTTCGACAACCACAACACGAAAACCATCATGCAAGCCGAAGAAAACCACTCCCCCACCTTGCAAGTGCACAACAACCAATCCACCACCTTGCAAGCGCACAACAACCACTCCAGCTCCTTGCGATGAAACGACCACACCGGCTTGTGGAGCTGAACAACAGAATGATGGTATTATTGCTCACATCAAGGAAATTTTCACAGGCTCAAGCACCACCACCAACGCTCCTACTGTGATCGGAACCAGCCCAATGTGTCGTGGTCGCGCTGAGGGAAGCATTGTCCAGGACCCGAACCACTGCAGGAGGTACTATGAGTGCCGCTCCGGTCGCCGCTTGTTGCGCAAGTGTCGTGCTGGTCTCTGGTTCGATTCGGAGGCAGGAGAGTGCCGTGCCCGCAACTTGGTGTTGAACTGCCCGGCCCAGCGTAACTGATGCGCTGAGTTGATTTAACTGGATTAAGGCCAGAGCTTGCATTGCAACTTCTATTTTTAACCAACAGTAACCACATAATCAATAAACAACTGCATTAAAATATTAACAAGTATTAAATATTTTATGGCCTTGGAGTGAAGTTTTTTTTACCTGCTTAAACCTTAAACTGGTCATACCATACTCCGTTGATACAAAATTGTAGTATACGCTTGCAGTGTATTACAATTTTAGTTAGAAGTGAAGGAGTTAGAATGAAAGAGATATTTCCGGGTCTATAAAGTATATATATTCTTGATCACAGCCACCTCGATTTAGCCATGTCGGTCCATCTGTCCGTACCTATGCAAACTAGTACCTCAGTTTTGGGGCTTTCTGAATGAACTTTACAAATAGTCCCCTCAGAAAAATGTTTAGAAAACAAAATTATAACATCGCTGTTTTTCAACATATTTTCATTACTTCGAGATATGGTCCTTTTTTTTGTTATTTCCGAATTTCAATTTTCAATTTATAAAAATCAGACGACTATACAATTATACGATACTCCCCAAGATTTTAGTTTTGACCCTCGTAGGTAAGTCAGCTTATTACAAACAAAATCAAGTATGCGGAATTGAAGCTTAATGAATTCTGTGTAAAATATGATTTTTTATTATCTCTGATTGGAGCTTGCATTTTCAAGTAACGATAAAAAAAAGGCAGAAAATCCAGTTTTTTGCTACAGGACACATTTAAATAATTTCGGGTGGAGAGAAGGGTTTGGTTTAAAATAATTTTTTGTATATTTCTATTAACAATTTAATGCATTTGTAATAAAATGCCGACGAAGAAATGGGAAAAATGAAAGCCTACAACGATGCTGGCTTGGTCGGTGGTCGGTCCCATAGGCCAAAAATAGAAAATTTAATGTTTGAATTTTGAGTTCAAACTTCCCGCACTTAGTTATCAATAAACTACCGTTTGAATATCGATTATTTGTTTTGATAAGCTTTTCACATTCGCGAAGAAAATAGCGGGTAAAGAGCGAGCGCAAACCAAGTGATAAACATCAAGCGTGCGCATCATAAACTTAAGACGTTCAGTATTTAAACAATAAATTGATTAAACTAAAATTAATATAAAATTTGAAGGTATTCACGTTGTTTTTGTGTAATTTTTATTAAATTTTTTAATAAAAATGTTTTAACAATATATGTGTATTAACCCTTATTGTTCGTTTCTAGCCTAAAAAAACATAAATTTTCAGAGAAGGTAAAAGTTGTTTTGCCAACTTCGCCCTCCAATGAAATTTTTTTTTTAATTAGCAAAAACTTTACTCAAATGTAATTTAAAAAGAATTTCTTCGTTTTACAACAAATGTTGACGGAATAAAAACTATATTGCTCGGAAATACTCGGATTGGCTTTCCAAAATAGATGACATTTCTTTAAGCTTGCAAACAGCAGCATCTCAAAATCGAGGTCGGCCTAGGATTAATTATGCAGAATGCTCCCAAAGGACAAAACGTCGCCGTATTGTTGAAATTACACAGCTAAATGAGTCCGCAGTAGGGATGTCGGAAATATATAAAAATATGAATATATCGACATTTTTTGTCTTAAAAAAAATATTATCATCGCGATAAAAAAAATATTATCATCGCGATATTTTTTTTACAAAAAAATAGGCGATAGTGATATATTTTTGAGATGATATTTCCGATATTTTATGTTTGGTCAATCTTAAGCCAGAAAGTGAAAAGATGGATGTGCTTAAAATGAGTTCGGTAAAAAATTTCTAATATGGTTACTGCTAAAGGCATCCTAACATAAGATACCCTTCTAAAAGTATCAGAAAAGCGATTGAGTTTGAGATTTGCTGCTTCACATACTGATGAAAGCTACGATGCTTGATCCTCGTTAAAAAAAATGTACTTCGATATGCCTCTTGAAAATAAACAAACAGAAATACTGCCTTCGCCTGAACGAGAAATGGATTGCGGAGAAGAGGATATAATCGCTTTAAGCATACAGGAAAGTTTTCTAGATCTGCACAACAGAACTATAGAATTTCGAGACTCTGTAGTCAAGAGTTCCGAAAGAAAGGAAGCAGCTTTTCTTTAGTATGCCATTTTGTAGTTGGGAAACAAAGCCTATGGAATTCTGGATCTCACAAATGACAACTATGTCCATGCTAGCGAAGGTGGCATTAAGTTGCCTGATCACTACTGGTAGTTCGGTTTCATCTGAACGGTTTGCTTCTGCCATAAAGTGTGTTGTTAGTGACTCCCGTAGTCGTATGACAGACCAGCATGTAACCGAACGAGTTTTTCTAAAATCATTAAAAACCGATTCGTATTAAATAAAACCTCTCAATGGGCTATACCATATCCTTCATAATGTTGTTATTAATTTTCTATACCAAGGATCGGAAGGAAGCGGGTAAAATATTTGTTTTTTTTTAAGTTCGATAATTTCTATTCACTTTTAAAATTAGCAAGAAAGGAAGCTAACTTCGGCACGCCGAAGTTTGTATACCCTTGCAGATTGGTTTTCATATTTATATTATAAATTATAATGCCGAAAACAGACACTAAACAGAGTTTCTTTACATTTTACCTATACTTATTATGTTTACAGTTTGACAGTTACAGTTTTACATTCCCAGCCTTACATTTTCTCTACATTTACCGATCGCTTCTATGGCAGCTATATGATATAGTTGTCCGATTTTTATAAAATGTATACCAAAATTCTAGAATAATAAAAAAAGCTTATATCTCAGAGTAGATAAACATACGTTGAAAAACAACGAAGCAATAATTTGTTTCCTATTAATTTCCCGATCGTTCCTATGGCAGCTATATCATATAGTCGTCCGATTTTCATACAATTTTTACCAAAATCCAAAAAAAAAAATAATGGCCACATCTAAAAAATGGTGCAAAAATATTGAAAAACAGCAAAGTTATAATTTTTTTTCGAAAAATATATCGAACATTTGTATGGCAGCTATATGATATAGTCGTCCGATCCGTTCTGACATATATAGCAGTGAAAGCATATATAGGACTATATGCAAAGTTTCACTCAGATAGCTTTAAAACTGAGGGACTAGTTTGCGTAGAAACGGACAGACGGACAGACGGACATGGCTAGATCGACTCGGCTGTTGATGCTGATCAAGAATATATATACTTTATAGGGTCGGAAACGTCTCCTTCACTGCGTTGCAAACTTCTGACTGAAATTATAATACCCTGCAAGGGTATAAAAACAGTCTATTATGTCTCAAATAGTTCTTATTTGTTGTTAATGGTTGATGAAATCAAATATAACGATTTTTAGGCTCAAAATTCACCCAAATTTTCAGAAACAGGAAATCTTTATCCAAGTTTAGCTAAACATTAAAAAATATCAATAAGAATCGATATATCGATATTTTTACGATATTTTTAAATATTATCAAGTGATATTTTTTAACAACAAATATCATTAATACGATATTTCTTTAAAAACCAACAACCCTAGTCCGCAGGCAATAACTTACGCTCCGCAAGTCTCCAAGAGCAGCCGTCAATATTACCAGCTAAAATTTCGTGTCATTGATCCTATAACGGATGCTAATTTAACAAAGCATCAATACATGTCAAATAAGAACTTTTATTAATACAACAATAGAATTGCGGACTTTTTACCATGCTATGACAGCATTTTAAAGGAGAAAAAGAAAAGTTACCCTAACAACATAACTGTAACGGAATCTGCTTCTGAAGTAGAGCTTCAAAACCTATTAAACCATACAGCTACACGAATTCTAGAACTACAGGCTGAAGTTATTGAGGAGTTTGATGCGGATGTAATAAATAAGCTGACATTAATTGGAAAATGGGGATTTGACGGAAACTCGGGACATAGCGAATATAAACAGCAAGTCGAGAATAATAATTTGGAGGACGCTAGTTTGTTTGTTATGTAATATCCTATGTCCCACTGCAACTTCTTACAAAACCCGAAACGACCAATAAAATAATTATTTGGAAAAATCCTTGCCCATCATCCACACGATTCTGTCGTCCTATAAGACTTTAATTTAAAAAAGAATCCGCGGAAGTCTCAATGGAGGAATATGAATATTTCAAAGCTAAAATAGTTAACCTATTACCAACCCAATATAAACTAAATGATATAGTTATTAATGTTCTTCATTTGCTGCAGCTGGCTATGGTCGATGGTAAAGTTTGTAACGCACTTTCCCAATCGTCGTCAGCCAAATGTCGTTTATGTAATGCCAAACCTAACGAAATGAATAACATAAAAATCTGTTTAGAAAAAACAGTTCATTAAGATCGGTATGAATTTGGATTATCTCCGCTGCACGCTTATATTCGTTTTTTTGAGTACTTCATACACTTGGCTTATAGACTTCCAATTAAAAAATGGCAAATAAGAACAGATGAAGGGAGGAGGGAAAAATTCTAATTCAGAAAGAATTTCGTAAAAAAATGGGACTCATTGTAGACAAACCAAAAGTTGGAGGATGTGGATCCTTAAACGATGGAAACACAGCAAGAGAATTTTTTAAAAACAGTAAATTGTCTGCCGAAATAACAGGGATAGATTGTCACTTGATAGATAGATGTGTTACAATATTAAGAATATTGTCATCAGGCTATCGAATTAATCCCCAAAAGTTTAGAACTTATGCAATAAATACAGCTGAACAACTAACAAAACAATACTCGTGGTACTATCTCCCAGCCACAGTTCATAAGGTATTGATTGACGGGCCAGAAATAATTGAGAACGCTTTAGTTTCAATTGGCGAACTTTCGGAAGAAGCGGCTGAATCAAAAAATAAAGACATCAACAGATTTAGAAGCCAGCACACACGAAAAGTTTCGCGTATACAAATACAGATTTATTTAACAGGCTATTATTAAGTTCTGACCCTTACATATTCGGACAACGCAAATTAAAAAACAAAAAATCAATTTTGGACGCATCAGTTTATGATTTGCTTGAGTAATGGTTTTCAATTCGCATTAACATGTTCTTTTTACACTTTAAACTATTGACTTTGTCTTTTTTATACCCTTGCAGGGTATTATAATTTCAGTCAGAAGTT